AAACCCTCTTAGCGACCGACCAGTGCTGTGGTCGGTGTCTGCCAGTGGCCACAAAGCGAGCCGGGATGTTGAGAGGGTATGCGACATCTGGGTGAATACAAGTTAATCGGGTACATGATGTCAAAAGACTAGCTTAGCTAGGAAGCCATAGAATGGCACAAGGTTTAGCTAGGAGCTAGGAGGAGCCATGAGAATGGCGAGAGGTTTTAGGTGCTAGGAAAGTTGAGGAGAGGAAAAGAGGGTTGGATTAGGAAGAGAGAGGAGTACAAGGAGGGGTTTGTACCCTCTACAGAAAAGGTTCAGTAACAACCTACCAAGCCTATATAAATTATAACTTATATAATTTTAACACACCCCCTAGGCTTGGTAGTCACACACCCACACACACCCACACCCCCTAACCTAGCACCCCCATTCCAGCCACAGTGACAGCGACTCTAGGTCGGTCGACCCCACGGCGCGTGAGGCGGCGACGTCGACCGCAGGGGCTGCGGCGACGACGGCGGCAGCGGCGGCAGTGTCGACAGCGGCGGCGGCGGCGGCGTGCGGCTGCGTGGCCCCGACGCAAGCGGCGACAGCGGCGGCGGCGGCGGCTTCGACAACAGCGGCAGCGGCGGCGGCACCCGCACCTCTCGGTGACGTGGCCTGGCCCCGCGACTGTGGGACGGCCGGCGGGAGTCAGCCGTCGTCTGCGGAATGGAAGAGGGCGCAGGGGAAGGAGGGGGGGTGGGGGGGGGGGGGGCGGCGCCACAGGCTGACATGCGGGCGGCCGGTCTAGCGGCGCCACAAGCGTCACGCGGCCGTCTGCAGCCCGACGACGCCGTCATGGAGCGGCGTCGATGCCGCAGCGGGGCGTCGACGCTGCGACGGCAGCACGACGTCGCTGGTACGCCGACTGCGCGCTGTCGCGTAGACGCCGCGGCAGCGTGACGGCGCCGTCACGTCGCGACAGCATCTTGACGCGACGGCGGAGCTGCGGCACGACGGCGCGGCCACAGCAGCTGGACGCGGGCGCCATGGACGTCGACGGCGGCGCCGCGGCACGACGACGCGGCCACAGCAGCTTGACGCGGCCGCCATGGCAGCGCGAGATAGAGAGAGAAACGAGCACGCAGCGGAAACGCGAGGAGCAGGCCCACACGGAACGAACTGCTCTGATACCATGTCAAAAGAATAGCTTAGCTAGGAAGCCATAGAATGGCACAAGGTTTAGCTAGGAGCTAGGAGGAGCCATGAGAATGGCGAGAGGTTTTAGGTGCTAGGAAAGTTGAGGAGAGGAAAAGAGGGTTGGATTAGGAAGAGAGAGGAGTACAAGGAGGGGTTTGTACCCTCTACAGAAAAGGTTCAGTAACAACCTACCAAGCCTATATAAATTATAACTTATATAATTTTAACACATGAGGCAACCCACCAGCTCTACGTAAGGACCACTAGACTCTACAGAATCCTCACGGACTGGAGCCGAGAGCCTGTGAACTACTGGGAGAGGTGTGGACTGTGCATAGGAGAACTCAAGACCGAACCTCTAAAGGATCTGGCGCACCAAGTGTGACTCTGTAAGACTGATGGTGCGCGCTGCTCTGTCCCTGGAGATCTGCAGGCCAAGGTAGCGGCGCAGCTCTCCTAGGCCAATGCAGGTGTGTCTCCTCAGCAGCTCAGCCTTCACGAAGGCTAGTGCGTCTCTGTCTGCAATAGCAAAGACCAGGTCGTCTACGTAGACAAGGATGTAGAACGGGGTCTGGCCAACACGAGCGAAGAGCAAAGGGTCTGCAGACAACGGGAAGAACTGCATATCAGCTAATGTAGCACGCAGCGTATCGTGACACTCACAGGGCGCCTGCCGCAGGCCGTAAACCGGGCGCCGGAGGAGCCACTTGGTACCGGGGATGAAGGTGCCAATGAAGCCGGGCGGAAGACGCAGGTAGCCCTACTTGTGCAAATTGTCCTAGAGAAACGTTGCGGAGAAGTCGAAAGAGTGCAGCTCGTAGTCACGCTGTGCTACTACGTGTAGCTGTGCCCGAAGAGTAGTCAACTTCAGGGTAGGGACGAAGGTCTAAACGAAGTCAACACCCTCGCGCTGACTGAAGCCTCTAGCCACGTAGCGCGCCTTGAACATAGGCGGCTCTCCGGAGGGCGCTTCACCTTAAACAGCCATCGGTCATCAACTACGTTCAATCCGGGTGGAGGAAATGCGTCGACGTAGGTGCCGGTGGATCTCCAAGATGCCATCTCCGCGTCCATGGCAGCTATCCACTGAGAGGCCCAAGGTCCCGAGGTCACCTCAGCGTAAGTGCGAGGGGTCGGGATGTCAAGGGCGTATGGGTCAACCTCAGGGACTAGCAGCATGGAGCACAGATGAGGAGCGGCCTCGGACAGGAAAGCGAGCTCGTACTGCCGGTCCTCCAGGACGTCACTGCGAAGGGCAGAAGCACCCCCGACGGACGGAGGAGGGGCAGGGTCAGAGACCAGAGTGGTGGCGTAGTCAAGGCGGTGGGTAGAGGCAAAGTCAGCGACGGCATCAACAAGAGCATCAAGACTCGAGACAGGAACAGACGGGTCGGTAACGAGGGAGGCAATGACTCGAGGAATGAGAGGACTAGCGACACGAAGAAAGTCAGACAGAGGAGGCGGAGCAACAACAAGCGACGCCGGAAGAGGCGACGGGAGGAGGGGATGACGAGACGCATGGGAACGAAGCAACATAGGGTGAGAGCGCTAAACAGGAGAGACAAGACAAGCACGAGAGGGACGACGAGACTTGAAGTGGGAAGGAGGCGTTGGATCAGGAGACACATGAGGAGATACAGGAGGAGAACGAGGGGGGAAATGAGCCGGAGACGAGTCCGGCAAAGGAAACACAGGGCCGTAGGCAGGCAGGGGAGGCAGCGGCAGGGGAGGCCCGGGCGGGTGGTCAGGGGAGGGAAGAGCGACGAGGCTGAGGGCGGAAACCGGTGGCGACTTTTGCTGCGATTGCTGCTCCGCACCGACACCAGAACCTCTCGCTGCACTGCGCCTACCTCCGGGACACTCCACGCCAATACCTCCAGAGCAAGAACCCTCTCTTACACCGGCGCAACCCCCAGGACCGCCGGGACGAGCCACGACAATAACCCCAGGACTAACACCCCCAGAGTAAGAATCCCAAGAACGAGAACCCTCTCCAATACCAATGCCATCCAAAGGACCACCAGGACAAGCCATGACAGGAACCCCAGGACGAGCACTCTCCTCAATGCCCGCACCCCAAGAGCTCGCAGACCCCTGCGACAACTGCTGCTGCGGCGGCGGCAATTGCGGCTGCTGCCGCGGCGGCGGCTGCTGCGATGGCGGAGGAGGAGACACCGGGGCAAAGACAGGCGGCGAGAATGGACCCACAGGGGCCCTAGAGTCAGTCGACTCTCTACCAGGACAACCGATGGGAGGGGAGTGACGTGAGACACACCAGACAGGGCAGGACGGGGAGGGAGAGGAGCAGGGGCTACCGGGGGAGTGGGAACCAGAAACAGGGACAGGGAAAACGGGAGACCTCCATGGGGAAGCGGTGGTAGAAGGAGACAAACTCATCAAAAGTGACGTCACGCGAGTGAAAGAAGGGGTGAGATGGCAGGTGGTAAAAGTGCCAGTCAGATGCATCGAAGGGGGAGCCAAAGAAGGCATAGAGGACAGTGCGGGCAGTGAGCTTGTCCGTGGAAGAGGCACGAACGTGAGCAAGGCAGCCCCAGACATAGAACGCAGATCCATTACCAGGGAACCCGGTCTAGTGGAGGGTCGGCAAAAACTGCGGCCGCAAGGAGTGTGGCCATAGGTTAAGTTGGTGAGGCGTGTAGCGAACAGCGAATGGCCACAGAGAATGGGGTGCACCGGCATAGATCATGAAGGTACGAGCCACTTCTATGACCAAACCGATACGTCGACCCCATTCTGGTGTGGGGAGTCCGGCAGGGTGTACGACTGGGTGATGTTGTCCGCACGACAGAACTGGCCAAGCCGACCGGAGGCAAATTCGCCGCCACGGTCGGAGTGGAGATGTGGCACAGGGAGGCCAAGGTGGACTCGCGCAACTACGACCGACGAGATAAGAACGTCATGCACGTCGGCCTTCCGCTCTATGGGAGACACCGTGGTGTAGCGCGTAAAATCGTCGACAAGCACCAGAAACTAGCGCTCGCGACGAGGTTCAGGGATAGGGGCGGGACCCTAAACGTCCAGGTGCAGGGTCTTGAGGGGCGCAGTGGTAGGGGGTAGCGAGGAGGAGTGGGGAGCACGACGCAGTCGGCCCTCGAGTCAGGGCGTGCACGGTGGTGCATGCGAGGGAGGGAGGGCAGGGACACCCGACACCGAGCTGCGCGGGACACCACCCTGACCATCACCACCAGCGCCACCAGGCCACCAGGGTGCTGGGGGTCCCCATGGCGGCTGCTATTGCTGCTGCTGCAACTACTGCTGCTGCTCGGGGGCAACAACCCTGGTTCCTTCAGCTGCACCACCGTCCCCGCCCCCACCTCCATCACCCCCAACACCCCCACCTTAGTCAGCACCCAGGGGACCTCACCCTCCCTGCCTTTCTCACCGCCCTGACCACGATAGAGACCCGCCAGCGCACTATCACTCAGTCTAGCGATACTGTGGCGGTCCCTATCTTCCAGGTTTGTGCTCCCTCCAAGTGCACTTACTATGACATTTCTGCCGTTGTTGCTGAGACCGCCGCCTTGGCCTCAGCGCTACAGCATCTGGGTAGGGGTCGCCGCCCCAAGGGGGGGCGTGGCCCAGGGAAGGGTGGGGGCTATGGCTACTCAGGAGCTCCGCTGGCTGACGTTCTTGCTCACTGACTAAGGTGAGTAGCCTAGGTCTGCCCCGGTCCCGTTTGCTGACAACAGGGCCATGATCCTTCTGTGTCAGGAGGCTCGACTTGAGGGCAGGGCGAAGCACATCCAGCTGCGGTACTTCCTGCTCACGGTTCCCGGTAGCAGACAAAATCCGTCTGATGGTCTGAGAATCAGACCCGTTTTTTGCTGTTCATCTGATTTTTGGACGGGGTCTAATATTTCGTCTGAACGTCCATACTTGTTATAAAATTTCGTCTGAATTCACAGACTTCAGTCTAGCGGTTCATCTGAGATTTCAGATAACGAGGATATTCTCGTCTGACAGCGACAATTCCACCCACCAAACCCATTGATCCCAGGTCCAGATTGGTAACGGCCAAGTTCCTCACACCAGAGACATTCCTCCCCCAACGCCCCTCGCAACTTGTTGTTTTCCGCTTAGTCCCGCACACTAGATACAATCCTCCCCCAACGCCCCTCGCAACTTGTTGTTTTCGGCTAAGTCTCGCACAAAGATATTTCACCTTAGTCCCCTACACCATATATTCCTCCTTACGGCGCTCCCAACCTAATTCCCGATGTCCCCTACTGCCAGGTACACTCCTTCCACACCCCCCAAAAAAAGGCCTGAAGTTCGTCCCTCAGCCAATCGCATTCCTGGTTTTTTTTTGCGATGGGAAAGATCGGGATTAGCCGCGACTTGCGCCAGAGTGGCAAAACACCAAGCCTCAAGGTAGAACATGACATGACCAGTGGGGTGCCAACCAGCAGGTGCCAGGGGTCCAGGCTAGTGTGGGCTAGCAAAGAACGGATGACGCTCAAACACCCTGTCTGCTCAAATATCAGCCCCTCAATCAGCTAACCCTGAGTGTGCGTGCGAGTTTCGTCTAAAAGTTTAGACATCGGTGTACGTTTCGTCTGAAACCCCAGACCTGAGAAATGTGCTCATATGATGGTCAGACGAAATTTTGAAACCCCGTCTGATTTTCAGACGGGCTTAAAACTTAGCAAGAACCCTGTTCCTGCTGCGTGAGTTGCAGCAGCGCGACCTGGCTCGAGTGGTACAGTTGGCTTCAGAGGCCAACACCGCTGATAACTTCACCAAGGCACTTGTGCCTCGTGACCATCAGCGGTTCTGTACTCAGCTTGGTCTCGTCTCCGTAGTAGCACCACTCGTATCTTACTTATACACGCTTATACCAAGTCACGTTGTACCTACTTATACTTGTATACTTGCTTGCCTTGCTACACTTGTTGACTAGCCTTGTTGCCCTCTCCAGAGGTCAGACTCAGGGCTCAAATTAGCCGGGTAAAATGCCCTGATTGCCCTGATTTTTCAGGGCATTTTTTCATTTGGTCTTAAAAATCAGACTTACGAAATTTATTACCCTGATCCAAAAAGTGTTACGAAAATATTACCCTGCCGAAACTAGGGTTGCGGGGCCCCGAACCCTGACCCTTCAGGGCGTCCTGAAAACTACCCTGGTATCGAAACTCCGAGATTCCGACTAAGTCCTTGGCGGCCAGAAACATTTCCCCCAAAACACCCTGCAACCAAAAATTTCGACGAAGTCCCTGGCAGCCAGAGTCATTCCTCCCACCCCACGCACCATGCAAGCCAGCAATTTCGGCTAAGTCGTAGCCAGAGTCATAGCTCCCTCACCCCCTCGCAACCCAGAAATGGCTAAGTCCCCCACAAGAGACATGCCTCCCAACCACACCCCCGCTACTTTTTTTTTTTTCGCTAAGTCCTCCACACCACAGCAAGACACGTCACGTCGTATACGCCCTTCTGACACCCAACCAATCACGAGCAGATGGTTTTTTTCCCGCCCCTCTGCCGCCCATGTAAATCTGATTCCCCTCTCGCGCCCCAGAATCGTTTTCCGTCCCATCCCATCCCCCAATCTCCCCCAGCACGCGCAAATCCGCTACACCCTTCTTTCCACACCTCAGTGCAGCCCACTTCATTCATGTAAAATGTTCCTTAAATGGCCAAGGCTAGAAAGGGTGCAAAGAGTTCTACACTTGAAGCAAAGACTTCGAATTTTTTTACCCTGCCAAATCAGACTTTGAATTTTTTTAGCTCTGACCGTCAGGGCGTTTTTTTTTTCCTACTCTGATCTCAAAGAGTGGCCTAAAACCAATTTTGGGCCCTGGTCAGACTAACTGCCACTCTCTAGGCTAGGGGGTGTGTCAACAAATATATTTACATAGATTAGCTATGTCATATTTGTTTATAGCCTAGATAGCTTAGTTCTTACAAGTACAGCCCTAGTTTTGTATCCCTCGACATTTTCCCTTAGTCACAACTTTCCCGCTACTCTAACATTACGCTCCAGACACAACGGTGCGGGTGATTAGTGAAGCAACCCGCACCGAGTGGGAGGGCTTTGTGACATGACATGGCTTAGACAGGGACATTGGCACACAGTAGAAGCTTTGCAACAAAAGCAGCTGCGCAAACAGTTAGATTAACGAGTTGCACTGCACCGGGGTGCACACGCACTTTTACACACATGCCCACACACACACACACACACACACACACTCACCAAGCCATACAAAGATGCTTTGGCACACGTGCACAAGCACACACACATGCATGCACCCATACACACACTCCTCTACCATCTCCTTCTCCTTCCCACCCCCATCACATCTCCATCCCACACTCTCCCCCTCCCTCACCCATCCCCTCCCCCACCTGTTCCTCCCCACTCCCTCCCCCGTTCCCCACTCCCACCCCTCCTCCCACCCCTCCCCCCACTCCCCTTCCCATCTCCCCGCCCCCACACACCCCCCCCTGAGCCACCATCTCGCCCTGCAGCGCCTTGAGTGACGACCCCGTGTGCGCCTTCCTCCGCTTGTAGCTGGCCTTAAAGTACACCTGCCGGAGGGTCTTGATGCGTGGGTCCAGCACCTGCTTGGGGTCTTTGCCTAGCAGCTCCTTCTTCGCTTCGAGCTGCTCCACTGTTTCTGCTGCCATGGGACCATGGATCTCCTGCGGTTGGGGAGAGGGGGGGTGGGAGGGAGGAGAGGGGCGGAGAAGGTGAGGCAGAAGAGGAGCAAAAGAAGGACGAAGAGAGGGGAGAGGGGAGAGGTGGGAAGAGAAAGGTGTGAGGAGGAAAAGGAAGGACAGGAGAGGGGGTTCCTGAAACCACCGCTGACACAATCGATCTAGGCTCCGGCCAAAGAAAGCCTCACTATAAGCGCACCTTCATGTTCTCTATAAGGTTGTCGAGGGACTTGAGCTTACGGTGCGGCCAGCGCTGTATGCCCAGCTCCCGGCAGCGCTTCTTGAGCACTGTCAGCCCCACGCCCAGCACACGGGCGGCGTGCTGAATGCTCAAGCGGAAATACTGCCACAAACACAGAGGGGGGGGGGGAGACTAGTTTTGAGGCGCCTCAAAAGCAGCGTTCTGAATGCTCATGCGGAAATACTGCCACAAACAGGGAGGGGAGGGGGGGGAGAGGGAGAGAAGCAGGGTGGGAAGGCGAGGAGGAGGAGGAGAGAGAGGGAGAGAGAAAGAATGCAGGTGAGTTCTTTAGCACTGTCAGCCGCACGCCCAGCGCACGCGCTGTATTTTGGATGCTCATATGGAAATACTGGCAGGGCAGGAAGTGGGGGGTTGAAGGAAAGAGAGAAGACAGGAAAGATTACTTCATGAACGGTGCATTAAGGATGGGTGAGAAAGCTAGAGATTATGTGGAAAGAAGGCGATTTGCATTATGTAGGAATATAACCACCGAAGAAAAGCACAAAAAAGGCTGTGAGGATCTGTCTTATTCCCTCCTCCGCCAAAATGCCCTTCCACCCTCCCTCCCCCTTTCCCCTCCCTCCCTCGCGCCTTCCCTGCCTAGCTCCCTGCCTCCTTCTCATCTAACCTGCGACAGCTCGTCTAGCTGCATCTCATTCAGCCGCTCAGAAGGCGACACTTACCATGCCATGCCCCCCTATCCCCCCCATCCCCCCCTATCTCCCCCTATCTCCCCCTATCTCCCCTATCTCCCCCTATCTCCCCCTATCTCCCCCTATCTCCCCTATCTCCCCCTATCTCCCCCTATCTCCCAGTTACCTCCTTACCCTCCCTCCCTGCTTGCCTCTCATCTCACCTGCGACAGCTCGTCGAGCTGCATCTCGTTCAGCCGCTCAGAAGGCGAGCGCAGAGACCGTCGCAGTACCCCTTCAATCGCCGCGCTCCCTCCCGCCTCATTCCCTGCACCTCCCTCCCTGCCGCCAGCAGCAGCAGCAGCAGCAGCAGCACCAGGGGCAGCATCAGCGGCAGCAGCAGCACCTCCAATTGCCCCTCTGACTCCAGGTATCTCCACCACCTCCAACCCCTCCATCTTCTCCCCCACCTGAAAATTCACCTGGAGCTCTCTCCCTTGGAATTGGCCCTGGAGTTTTCCCTCCAAAGGACTCGCTTCTTGCTGTTGCTGCTGGTGATTCTCAGAAGCAGCAATGTCTCCCTCCCACTTGACAAGGGCTTGCTTCACATCGATGCCAGAAAATCCTGCTCCTGCTGCAGCCGCTGCTGCGGCTGCTGGTGAGAGAATTTCCTCCTTGACCATGGACTCGTGTCCCTCAATCTCCTCTCCTTGCGCTCCTTCCCCCACCACTCCCCCACCAACCACCACAACTCCTCTCCCCCTCTCCTCCTCTCCTCCCCAACCCCCACCCGCTGCTCCTGCAGCAGCAAACATGGCATTGAGGCTCTGCTCCATGGGATTCTGGGGTCCCAAGCCCTGCGTTAGCGCATAAAGACAGTTACCGTGCACAGAAACATCCGCAGCAGAATCGAACCCAGCAACGGCGGCCGTGCCGGTGGCGTTGGTTGTAGAAGGGGAGGTGGAGAGATAAGAGGAGGAGGAAGGAGAAGAGAAGGTTCCATCCGCACCAACGGCACCAGCACCAGCAGCCGCTGCTGCAGCAGTAGCAGCAACTGCAGCAGTGACATCACCAGCAGCATTCTCAGCATCAGTATCAGTAGCAGTAGCAGTAGCAGTAGCAGTAGCAGGAGGAGGAGGAGGAGGAGGGTTGTACAAGGGGAGCATGTGCATCATGTCTATATCGATTGGGCAGCTGGACAGAAGCAAGCTGACGAAGTTAGAAGCACCATGCACACTCTCCTCCGCATCTTCCTCCTCCTCTTCTTCCTCCTCCTCCTCCTCCTCCTCCTCCGCCACTCTTTCCCCATTACCATTGTTACCACAGTTATTCTCCGCGTTATCCACCAGGTTACCCTCCTCCTTATACTGCTCGTTGTACTCCTTATAGCACTCCTCCATGTCCATACTGTGCTGCATACCCGCGTCAGCATAGTCAGTTCCAGTATTCCCATCCGTGCCAGGATTGATATTACCACCCACGCTCACGTGCCCATCTAAACCAGTGGTATCCACCATCGTAGAACCCATGCCAAGGCCCGTACCCATGCCCATAACCATATCAAATCCCATGCCTATGCCTGTCTCTGCCTGTGCTACTGCGTGTGCTTGACGCTGCAGCAGCAGCAGCTGTTGCTGTGTGGGGTAGGTCAGAGGTGTGGTGCGAACAGACGCAGGTGATGCCAGGGGGAGGTAAGCACTGCCTTCGGCAGCAGCAGCAGCAGCAGCAGCAGCAGCAGTGGCGGCGGTGGTGGCGGCATCGGTATCTGCACCAGCAGAATCAGCAGCCGATGCTGCAGCAGCAGGAGTAAGTGCAGGACTAGTAGCAGGGGGATTAGCAGTCATCGCGAGTGCTGCAGCAGCAGCAGCAGCAGCAGCAGAAGCATTAGGATTAGCACCCGCAGGAGCATGGCCGAGGAAATCCACCACTGCAATTGCAGAAGCAGAACCAGCAGCACCGCCAGAAGCAGCAGCAGACGCAGCTCCAGCTGCATTAGCAGCAGCAGCGCCACTGGCAAAAAAGGGGGGAGGACGAGGAGTGGGAGGGTGTGGGGAGCCCACGCGTGGGCTTGGGCTTGGTGAACGAGTGTTGAAGGGGAAGGAGGGACGGAAGCGGGAGGAAGGGGGGAGGAGGGAGAACTGCGAAGCAGAAAAAGAGGAGGGGGAGAATGTGGAAGAGGGGAAGGCGGAGGGGGAGAGAGTGGACGGGAAGGGGGAGGGAGGCAGGGAGGAGAAATGAGGGGAGGACGGCGGAAGGGAGGGGGGACGGAAGGACGACGGAGGGTATGAGGATGACAGGAAGGTGGGAGGAGGAACGGAGGGGGTGGGGAAGGAAGCAGGATGGGGAGGTCGGAAATTAGTGGCGGAGTGAGAGGGAGAAGGTTGGGAGGAGAAGGAGAGACGAGTGGAGGAGGAGGAGTGAGTGAGAGCAGCAGCAGCAGTGGTGGTTGAGGGTGGAAAGACGAGGGGTCTTGGAGGCACCAGAGCCGCATGGGAGATGGCTCGCCCAGGCAGGGGCGCGGAAAACGATGGGGAGTGGGAAGAGAAGGGGGTGAGGAACTGGGCGGGGGGATGGGGGAGAGACCGGGAGGCGTTGAAAGATGCAGGATGGGAGAAGGCTGAAGCGGCAGGTACAGAGGCAGCAGGAGCGGCGCCAAAGACAGAGGCAGTAGTTGAAACGGCAGTGGCAGTGGCCGTGGCAGCGGCAGCGGCAGCGGTTGCGGTATCAAGGGAAGCAGCTGTGCCAGCAGCACCAGCACCACCACCGGCACAACCACCAGCTCTGTCAATGCCAGAGGGTAAAAACCCATTGGTACTCATGCCGCCATGGCTCCTCTTATAGCCACTGCTGTCTCTGCAAGGGGACGCACAATGCGAGAGACCGAGACGTGCATCCTCGTTAGTAGCTCCCTCGTTAGTATTGGCAGCACCACCGAAATTATCCGAGCCATTGTGAGTCGAGCCGTTGAGAGGCGAGCCGTTGGCACGCCTAGAGGATGCGAGGAAGTGTAAGGGGGAGAGGGGGCAGTGGGTGGAGAAGGAAGGGGAGAGAAGGAAGGAGGAGGGTGAGAGGAGGGCCAGGGGAGACAGCAGGGGTGGCCCTTCTTCTCCTGACAGTGCCTGCAACCCCATTGCTGCTGGTGCTGCTGGTGGTGGTGCATCTATCGCAACTTGTGGTGTGGAAACTGACTGGATCAATCCCTCACTCCTCTCCCAAGCTCCTGTCCTCGCTCCTTCCCTCAAAGACGCTTCCACACTTGCTAGAGCAGCCTCGATGTCCATCGCCTCCCCATTCCCCCTCACTCTCCCCTCCCCTTCTCCCCCTCCTCTCTCCCCTCCTCTCTCCCCTCCCCTCTCCCCTCCTCTCTCCCCTCCCCTCTCCCCTCCTCTCTCCCCTCCTCCCCCCCCTGCTCTCTCTCCACCTCCTTATGCGGCCGCAGCCACCGTTCGCACTCGCTCCCACTGCCCACCCCGCGGAGCACTGAGCCGCCAGGCGTTCTGGCCTTCACTCGCCTTCTCAGCACCTCCCCTCTCCGATCTCCTCCCTTCTCCGAAACCCCTCCTCCCTCTCCACCTCCTCCTCCCCCCCCTGTTCCTCCTCCTTCACCCGCCTCCTTCGGATCCATTCCCCCAGCTACTACTTGCTGCAGAGGGGGAGGTAGAGCGGAGGGCAGTGGGGGCGGCCCCAGATTAGCCCACCTGACCGGGGGAATTTCCACCCGTAGACTCGGGCGGCTGCGCCGGCCTTTGGGAGCAGGCTTGGGTCTGCGGGACGGAGCAAAAGGCGCAACAGGCGCACACACTGCGGCAGTCTGAAAGGACGTGGTGGCAGCAGCAGCGGCAGCAGCAGGAGACGAGGCAGACGGAGCGAGGGCAGCGGCAGCGAGCCTTTGAGGGGCTCCAAACACACCTGCTGCAAGTGTATCAGCCGCAGCAGCAGCAGCAGCAGGAGCAGCGGCAGCAGCAGCAGGAGCAGCAGATTTAAGGGCATAGATACAGGCTCCTCCTGCTACTCCTGCTGCTCCTGCTGCTCCTCCTGCTCCTCCTCCTCCTCCCCCCACCGCTCCTATCGACAGGCGGGAAACAGGAGTGGAGGCGAGAGGGGAGGGCATGGCAGCAGCGACAGCGGAGGCAGCAGCGGTGCCGGAAGCAGCAGAAGAGACGGCCATGGAGAGAGCAGCCGTGGCTCGCAGGAGACTGCCCGACACCATAGCCATACTCCCTGCACCACCTGCACTGCTTGCACCGGCCTGGGTATCTTGACTGGCAGAGGAGGGGGTGCTAGCGCTGAAGAAGACCGACGAAGCAGCACCAGCTATTCCGGCTTCTCTATTCCCTCCTCCTCCTCTGCCTCCTCCGCCTCCTCCACCTCCGCCTCCGCCTCCGCCTCCGAACCCCTCCTGTGCTCCAGCCACAACACCAGTCGCAGAAACACCAGCAGCAGCACCAACAGCAGCAGCACCAGCACCAGCAGCACCAGCACCAGCTGCAGCAGCAGCCGCCGCAGCAGCAGCCATCCTTTCATGGAGAAACAATCTCCTCCTAGGGCTCCTCACCAGGCTCCTTTCTAGCTGAGCAATCCTCTCAATCGGCGGCCTCCTCTTCCTCTGCAATGGCTCTTCCGCCGAGCCTGGAGTCACAGCCTCGGGCCCAGCCTTCACGCTAGGCTCGGGCGAGCAGCTGCCGAGGCTGCTGCTGCTGGCTCGGACGAAGGGCATGGTGGTTGACAGGGCACCGGGAGGGTGGATGGGGGCTAGGCATGGGAGGGAGGCACTGCGACGGAGATGGATGCTGCTGCTGCTGGTCAGGGCTGTCGCAGTAGCAGCAGTAGCAGTAGCAGTGGCAGTCGCAGCAGCAGCAGTAGCAGCAGCAGCAGTAGCAGCAGCAGCAGCAGTAGCAGAAGCACCGGCGGTGGCGGTGGTGGTGGCGGTGGTAGTTGCTGCGCTGGTCGGTGCAGTGTTGGTGACGATGCTGGTTGTTGTGTTAGCACCCACAGCAGCAGCAGCAGGGGCAGTCAGAGCAGCGGCAATACCAGGGGCAACAGCAGGGGCTGCAGTTGTGCCGGTGGCAGGGACTAGACCAGAGTTCGGTAGGTGGGCGGGAGCAGGAGAAGCAGGTTCGGCAGCTGATGGAGTAAGGCGGGTGGGAGGCATGGGGAAAAGCGCAGGCGGGGCACAAGATGACGCATGGTGCTGCCGAACCTCCTCCTGAGCCTCCTCCCGAGCCTCCTCCCGAGCCTCCTCGTGTATCTCCACAAGTACCACCTCCTGTTCCCCCATCACCATATCTCCATGCGGCGACACCTGAAGCGCCTCAAACACTGTATCGTGCGTCATAGATTTCACGTCCCGAACCTCCTCTGGTGTCTCGTCTTGTTGTTTCTCCTCTTGTGATTTCATCTCCTGTGCCTGGTCGTGTGACGTCTCGGGCACTTCTTCTGGCACTTCTTCTGGCACTGATTCGTGCACCTCCATTGCAGCATCACCGCTAGTCCTGGTGGTCCCAACAGCTGCAGCAGCGACAGCAGTTGCCGGTGGTGCAGCAGCAGAAAGGCCAACATCATTATCAATGTCAGACGCTGCAGCATAGTCAGCCTCCCCATCCGCATCACCATCATCACCATCACCGCTGCCCCTGCCGCTGCCGCTGCCGCTGCCGCCACCAGCAGCAGCAACATCAGCATCAGTAACAGCATCAGCAGCAGCAGCAGCAGCAGCAGCAGCAGCATGCGGTGGTTGCACCCAAACGCACGGACCAGCCGAGCAGGCGTTGCTCAAGCTTTGGTGCACGTGCAGCAGATCTTGCAGTAGCATCGGCACTCGGTGCAGGTCGGGATTGCTGGGACAGAAAGAGGGGGGGAGCAGGAGAGGAAGGAGGGAAGAGGGGCGTAATAAGAGTCGGGGGAACACGTGACACGGAGAGAGGGGGGAGAAACACAAACGAGTGAGGTGATGTTTGAGTGGCGCGGGGAGAGGGAGGGGGGGAGGGCGGGGGTGGGGGGGGGGGGTGTTCAAAGCGAGAAAATAGGAATGAGACGGCGCAAGGGGAAAGCGCGGGGAAGGGGGGCTGAAGTGGAGGAGGACGGAAGGGGAACAGTGGAGCTGTGAGAACAGACGGAAGAAGGTACACGCGGAAGGGCGTGATGGCGGAAACGCGATGACAAGAGGACAAGGGTGCGGGACGGGAGGGGCGGGAGAGGAGGGAGGTTGGGGAGGGGAGGGGGGAACAGGAGAGGGGAGAGTACGAGGCCAAGGAGGGGAGGGAGAGACATACTCGTGGGGAGAGACAGCGGGCGGCAGACGAGATGCGGGCACCAACCCATCAGATGGAGCAAGTGTGCCACCGCATCCATCCCCATCTCCCCTTTCCCCTTCCCCATCCCTTCTCCCTTCCCCTTCCCGATCCCCATCCCCGTCCCCGTCCCCCTCCCCGTCCCCGTCCCCGTCCCCCTCCCCGTCCCCCTCCCCGTCCCCCTCCCCGTCCCCCTCCCCGTCCCCCTCCCCGTCCCCCTCCCCGTCCCCCTCCCCCTCCCTGTCCCCCTCCCCGCGCCCCGCCCTTGCGCTCCCCCCCGCATGGAACTCCAGGAACGGCAGCCACCCGTCCTCGATCCCCGCCGCGCGCGACGCGAGCAGGTGCCGCAGCGCGAGCGACGACCCCGCGCAGTGGAACGTGTCGCGATCCGACTCCGTGTCCGTCGCCAGGCACGTGAACGCGGGCCGGCCGCCGGGGGAGCCGGGCGCGGGCGAGCTTGTAGGGAGGATGAAATTGAGCTGAGTGGACTCGAAGTGGCCGGGTGAAACCTGGTGCAGGTGGATCGAGAAGAAGATAACTGCGCGAGGAGGGGACGCGGGGCGGAAGGGGAAGCGGAGGGGAAGAATACGGGAGGAAGACGGGGAGAAGACGGGGAGGGCGGGGGGAGGGGGGAGAGCGGGGGCGGGTGGGGAGGGGAAGGGGGTACAAAGAAACAAGGGGGAATATGAGCGACGGGTAGTGTCGACCAGACGTGATCATAGTCGAGCATTCTTTTCGGAAACCATAAAATCGCCCGCTAACGTATTAACGAGGTCGCCTAGACCGCACGCGAGTACACGACCTAACGTGGCACGGCATGGCCCAAAACGGCATGCGACGGCATCAGATCTCACGGCTCTCTGGCAATTATCCACCGTCACCGTCACCGCCGGTGACATATAGAGTCACAAATTACCCCCCGTCTCGATCATAAATGGATATCTAGTAAACAAATTACCAGATTGAGCTTTCCTACAAGCCTCAACCTCAGATACCCACCACCTCAAATTTCAGGCTCAGATTTCACCCCTCATCACCTCACCACCAGCCCAACCCATCGCATCCCATCCCCGTCCAACCCTTCGCAAGCCTTATCCCTTCCCAACCAATCCCGTCCCATCTCGCAATTTACTTGGCGAGAATTGATCTTGAAACACAACCAACGACGTGAGCCCCAACCCGCCGCTGATTCCTCCACTTCTTCCGCGTCTCCGCGCTCCCCCGAGTCTCCAATCCGCGTCCCGCGCGGCTGTCACGCCCCCAGTCCCCCAAGCCGCGTCTGTAACCGCCGTCGGCGCGCGCAGAGGCTTGGATGTTCCCCCAACAGTCATCGCGCCGTCGTCGTTGGCTCGCGTCGCCGTCGCAGATTCGCCATCCAAAGCCGATGCGTCGCAACCGTAGCCTGCGTCGCATGCGTCGCCCGCGTCGCCCGTGACGGCCGCAGCGGCGGCGCAAACCGAATTCCGCGTGCGCGGGTCCTCTGCGCCTGTCGTACCGACGCTAGCCTCGTCGTTCGTCGGCGTCTGACGCGACTGCACAATACAATTTTCCGCGCAGCCGTCTGCGGCCGCGCTTGCGCCCCCAAGCCGCGCGAGCGCTGGCGCTGTCGGTATCGCGTGTCCGTACGCTCCATCCTCGTTATTGCGTTCATCGTAATCTACACTGCTGCTGCAGTAAGCGGTCCCTCCGCCGCTTCCCCCGGTTGCGCCTCCGCTCCCGCTTCTCCCCTCACCGCATCCCCCGCCGGAGTTCGGGCTCTTTCTGCCGGCTTCTGCTTGCCGGAAACCTTCTCCGGAACCGCTTTCCTCCTGCCCGGTGCAGCCTGCTTCGATTTGCGACGTCGCTGCGGCGCCGTCGCCGCCGTGAGCGACGCGACGGGAGAAGACAGTGAGAGGCGGCGCGATCTCTTTCATTCGCGTTGTTGCCACCGCAATTGACGGAGAAATTGTTGTGAGCTGCTCTGTTGTTGCTGCTTCAAGCAGCGGCACCGCTGCTTGTTGGGCGAAAACCGCGGCCGTTGCCGCCGCTGCCTCTGCCGCTGCTGCCGCGCCGAGTCGGCGGTGTTTGCAGTAATTACTCGCATCTGCCTGACGGACGCCGCGGTTGTTAGCGCAGCGCCGGTCGTAGCAGCAGCTGCTGCTGCTTTTGCTGCTGCTGCTGCTGCTCGTGCTGGTACTAGCCGTCGACATGCTGCTCGCGCGGCACAGCTCGTAGGCTGCCGCCCCGCCTGTTCTGGCGGAGGCGCCACGGCTTCCGCCGCGCCGGCACGCGAAAAGCGGCCCCTGGACGAGGGGAGACATGAATCTCGATTTTTCACCCCACCCCGGCGTCGCGGTAAACGGCTTCGCGAGTCGCGCAGCAGCGATTTTGGTCCAAACAAATCTTCGTAATAAATTATGGATGTCACGTGTCGTCACGGCACTAATTTGCGCGACACGTATCTTGACGATGATCAGCGCGATCGCTTCGCGACATCACGGTAGTAATTCGTATCGACAAGGTAATCTCCCAGTGGGTTGACAGCAGCAGGTGTGAGACACGGTACTGTGATCAGGGCGATCAGGTCTCTCATACAATCTGGGCGGACTCCCCTTAGTTAATCAGGGCGGTCACGTCTCGCAACACTGATCCGACTCGCCGGTGTTTCGCCTCGTTGTGGTCTAAATCCGCAACACTCCTAGCAACACTCCTACGACGATCGAGAAGCCGCTGCTGTGGGCAGCACAGTGCCTCAGGAGCGAGCTGTAGATGGATGTACTTTTAGAACACATTAGACAAGACAAGCAGAGGTGGAACGGAAACGTGGATGACCAAAGGCTGGAATCTCTGAGCGGCAGGTGGCAGGCAAGGTGAACACAAATGTCCACAGAAGCATCGCGCGCGCAGAAGCAGAAGTCAGCACCAAAAGACAACTGACAGCAGCGGCAGCCAGCAGGAGTAGCTGCAGGCGGCACGTGATTCTGCTGGGAGGAACATACAGCAGCCGCGTGTGGGGTTGTACACGCATTCGGCCACGCATTCAGCGGCCGAGTGTGAGGTTTAATGGGTTTCAGTAGGGTTTATCACGTTACAAAAATGGTCTGGAATTTTTACGCTCTGGACCGCGACGCACCGACGTAGACCGAGCTAGGTGATTTGTGAATAAACGTGCGCGGTAACCCCCCAACATCGGCTTGTAGGGGACGACCCCAACAACGGGAAAAGGAAGCTGGGGCGGATGAACCAGGTAGCGGGGGAGTGTATTGTTGCTGCTGTTTGTGGAGGAATAGAATAATGATCAAATCCAAGCTTGAGCCTGTGGAATGCTCTGTACAGAACATGAGCGGATGGTCAGAAGAAAATTGCTGCCGGGGGAAACGACCCTGGCCGCCAGTTGGGGGAGGGGCTCCGTCTGCCGTACAGGGCTCTCGCTAAGCGTTGGGTATTCCGTTAGGCCACGGAATCGGCCAAGAATTACCCGTTAGCGGACGGAGTCACCGAAACAACCCGTTAGCATACGGATTCGTCGAAGAGCTACTTTTGGTTTGATACTAATATCCTCAAAGACGAATAGCCTTGGCCACGGCTAGGGAAAATCCCTCGAACCACATGGACTGTTTCTCGCACATAACATTCCTCAAGACGGTTGGAAGCGTAGAAAAACTTCCCAGTAACTAGCCCCCTCTTTGCTGGGTGGAGGACGAGGGGAGAGTGGGAAGGGGTAATACACCACTGAGAACGGATCTCCTACTACAAGTGCAATTCGTACGGAATGAAACAAGTAACCCGTAATGTCAAGGAATCACACGAAAATTAATCCGTTAGGAAGACGGAATCAGGAAAAAGTCTAATATACAAAATAAAGGGAATCAGGTCAGAAACAACTCTTAATTTAGCGAAATTTAGGGTAATTACTTTGATAGCCAGAGCCTTGCTGCCGTGGGAGGGGGGAAATGCACGCGGCCCGAGCTTGACGTCCAGTGAAAGTCAGCTTTCTTTCCGCGTACTACACCTGACGTCTAGTGAATCACTCATTCATTAGACAAGACGTGTTGTTTTACAAGCTAACTGCTCCGAAAGAATGGGCAACGGCCCAAACGACACAAGCTCAAACATCTGCAACAAATACCGAATCTGATACGGAGACCTCCAAACGTACAGACGGGATGTTCTCATACCTTACATTATTGCCCAAGGAACGCAAAACAAACAACAATAGTCACCCGCATTAGACAGGAAAATACCAACGAGGTAATCAAACTACCCTACATTGGCCCACGTCGCCCGTGAAAGTTCTGTGCTAGATTCTGGATCAATTGCCTGAAAACAAACTGGGCCTGAAAAGGACTTCATATGTACATTCAGATGTCCGCGTGTACTGTAATGGATTATCTGTAGCAATCGCTGGATCGTAGTCAGCGGGGCTGTATCCAGACGGCGGAGAATACACCATTTTAAAATTACATGCAATACTTTTTCTCATGGCGAATACTGCAACTGAAGGAGACACTAAGCCGGGAGGTTGACTGTACCTTCCGTGGTTTGAGTATTTCTTCCCGCGGAAATCTCCAAGATTTCGATGTCGTCACATACGAACTTGTCACGCCGAGGAAGATGCCCGCACGAAGATCCGCGAAGTGCTAAAAAATAGAATTGACGAAATGAGGAGCAACGTTTGGTTAAACCAGTAACCAACTAACAACCTTCCATAAGCCAATCAGCTCAGATTGTTGAACACTTCAAGCAAGCAATTCCGGTCAAACCAACTCCAGGGTGGTACTGTAAATATGGTGAAAACAGTAGGTGACATTGGATAATCTTAACCATCTAAGTGCTACTTTGAATTTTTTTCGGAGAATTTCTCTAAGCTAAAACAGGTGTACAGATTGACGAGATGCCAAGTCCCAGTGGCAGAAAAGTTTGGAGTGAGCAGTTTTGTTAGCTGAGATAAGGCTAAACATGAGAGGTTGGTCTTCGGGCCGACCTTCCCGAATGAGACGTTAGCGCTCCGAATGCAGCCAGGGCAGCTGTTAGCTTGAAGGCTGGCATTTGCGCCTGGGGTCATGATATGTAATTTGGATTATGGCGCGGTGCTTAGCGTTAAAGAAAAAGGTTCGAGCGTGGACCATGCTCCACCGTGAAAAATGACTGCAACGCACAAAACCGTATTAAACTCTCTTCAACGCACAATGGCTTTTACCAAACGCACCGCGCTCTTAGTAACGTCGTCTATTCAGGCTGGCATTGTCCTTGGAAGAAAGGGCAAAACGGCCATCTGGTCAAAATCTCCTCCATTCGGCTATTCTTTCCCGTCAAACCCAAAATCGAATTTGCTAACTGCCGCAGATCCGTGCCGCCATCCACAGTTTCGCATGAATGGTTGGAAGCGCTTGTCTTGGACAAACCTAATGCTGGGAGTGTACCGTACCCTTGGATGCACAGCATATGGTGTCTATTCTGGGGTTCGCGAAGCTTTACAGCATGCCTTCCAACCGTTATGAATGAAGCACTCTCGGTCGGATCAGATCCTGGACGCTTATCGATGTACAGTACAGTCCACAGCTGGCCCGTCAATCACGCTTGCACAGTGCACACCTGACTTCACGAGAAGCGACAAGAGACCCACCACAACGAGGCATTGAGCAGGCAGAAGACGACACGCAAGGCAAGGGTACAAAAGGTGACGAGCAAGGTTTTTTTCTTTAGCTGAGAAAAGGAGAGGGGGCCTCTCGCTGAGCCATTCCGTGCCGAAGGCAAACGGACTCGGCCCAAGAATTACCCGTTAACGGACAGAATCTCCGAAGACATACCCATTAGCAAACGGATTTGTCGGAGAACTCCACTTCTGCATTACACTTACTGTACCAGTCTCACAGACAGGGTGGCTTCGCCAATGGTGAAGGTGGAAGGTACCCTCAACTACTACGGCTCAGGGCGTCGGAAAAGATCGAAGTTAACAGGACTACCCTGTTACTCCGACTACCACTTTAACCCTGGCTACAGTTCACCAGGTAGGGAAATGAATTGTTTCCGTAAGCTAGTCGAGGGGCTAAAGTACCCGTTATCTCAGGGAAACCTACAAAACGATTCCTTAAGATGGACAAAGAAAATTACACTTCAGCCCTAAAAAACGGAATTAGGTCAAAACAAACCTTTTGCTTCACGACATTAGGGGGTAATTACCCTACTAGCGGGAGCCCCAGGTTAGGACCAGCGTTGGTCTGGGAAGGGGAGGGAAAAGGAGGAGGAGAAGGGGTACACGCGAAGCAGGGGCAAGGCTGGCGAATGGGGTCTGGGTTCGCGTTCATTGGCCCGAAATGCGAAAGATCCGCCACCACAACTGGTCAGCACGGTGGCAGGGAAATGCATCCTTCATGTACACGGGGTATGCTCTATGCTCCAAATCCGCGACTCACAAATATGGAGTAGGACGAATAAGAGCGGTTCACTACGGGCAAAATGGATTATCGAGTAGCACGTACGGTTTTAGGTGGGGTGGCGTAGGCCGTTTTACTCGTTTTGTTCACGATGGGTGCCTTGGCGTATTGACCCTTGGGCCAGGTTACCAGCGACTTCGCCGCGTGTCATGTGAGGGCTCATGTGGCTTCTTAAAAAACGTTCAGCACATTTGTCGTCTGGTCAGAATTACCGCGGAAAATAGAAGTAACACCTCGTTCTCGAACTTCCGCTAGCAGCGCAGGCTCTAAACGCGCAAATAATAAAATTATGATCTCACGAAAAGGGCTTAACGTAACGAAATTATGACGACTCGCCTGAGAATTTTCGTTAACCAATCACACACTTTCGCGACGGTGAAAAAAACCATTGAAGAAAAACATTTTCTAAATGTGCACTGATTAATGGTGATTGAGGGACCGTGGGTCTTGTTTTCGTATTCGGGACGGACCTGTTCGTGTCACGCGGAAAGCCTGAATATTTACGTCATTTGTTATAAAATATGGAAAATGACCCGAATGTTCTTGATACGAGGATTAGAATAGGACCGAAATAATAAGACAGAATGGATGAAAAGGGGGTACGGGTTCATGCCCAGGTCAGCGCGCATACAAAATTGCCAGGTGGACGGTAGTATCAGCTGGCTATCATTTTTTTGGTCCGTCGTGATTACGTCTGATCGCCCTGGCAAACGCGTATTGGCCGGTTAATTCCAAGCACAGTTCACGAGAAAATTCCAAGTCAACTGTAGATGTATACCATACAGACGGAGTACATCGTGTCCGATCTTATCGAATTTCAGACCTTGGAGTATTACGTGGAGTAAAATGTTGTGGACCTAATGGCATACCCGCTGTACAACTGATTTACTGTGCTGAAGTGAATTGTACAGTTCTTTGAGTGATGTGCGCCTTGTGCGTCCAACCAGGCCTCTCGCCAAAAAGGTAATTACTCCTTCATGTCGAGACATGAAGGGTATTTGTTCCTATGATTCCATTTTTCTACGGGGTGATTTTTTCCTGAATCCGTCCAACGTACGGGGAAACAATTTCACGCAATTCCTTGGCATAATAAGTTTTATTTTAATACTTACGAGCTATACTCGTATTGGTGCACTTTGTAGAGCTATACGCTGAGTAACTCTTACTCTTCGTTTACCCGATTTAGTCAATGTTTTATCGAGTCAAAATCAGCAGCGTCAAACATTTTGTTCTGTTCGATACCGCATGGCAATTTGTTTGGACACGTGTCCGAAAATGGCAAGATCCCTGAGAATAGCGAGACTATTTGTAATGACAAACAAATAGAAAAACTATCTGAGAGCATATTCAATTTCACTCACATTCAAGTTTCTAAGTATATTATATTCGCGAAGACTAACCAGCCAAGTGTTGTCTTCTTGTGGCTAGAA